GGAAGAAGAAAAGTGACAAACGGATGAAAAAGGACGTTGGGCGGAGGCGGGCACTAAGGCAGGTACGACGGCCGGCGCAAGAACAAAAGGTGCATCGGCATATTTACTTTGGGGGGCACGACATTGTGTAGTACAGGGCACAGTGCATCACTGCATCACTGCATCACTGCATCACTGCATCACTGCATACGGATATGCACCCCGTCTCAGTATGGATACGACTGTGCGTACTCCGTACAGACGATCAAGTTTTGGTTGGGTAACTATGGAGCATGCGGACGGACATTGCCGTACGGAAACATTATCTACCTATGTGGGTGCATAAACAATCTCTAACAGTGCACTGATGCGGATGGGCAAGACCCAGTAATGCATGCGTGTATGCATGCATGCTGCACAAGGCCTGTCTGTATGCACTCCTTGTGCAGCTTCAGGTTTAGCATAGACTCGCCAAAGTGCTCGTGTGTAGGCTGTGCGTTGGTCAGCTCATTCGTAAATTGTCTGATGGTACAAGTTGCAACTGCTTGCAGTAACCGTTTGCATCGTCTTGCTACTGCAATATTGCCATGTCATTATTGCCATGTCATTATTGCCATGTTATTATTGCCATGTTATTATTACCGGTGCCGGGCCGTTATGACCAGTATCATCAGTCATGTACGGATACCAACCTGCTGGGCCCTACATGGCAGGTACCTACCTACCTAGGTATGTACATGGTCTGCCATCAGCCGCTGTGACGCCACTGGACGGGCTGCAGACTACCTACAGCCTGCATGTTCCTGTAGACCCCTGGGCCCTGCAATGGCTTCACATGGGCTCCAACTTTCAGGTCATTCTCTCGTGTTTTCATCCCACTCAACACTGTCGCTACTCTCCCACTAGGGATACCATTCTCATAAATTGTCAATTTAATTAATTGGTACAAAAAAGCAAGGCGCGTCAGTTGTCATCTTGTGATGAACTGAATTTTCTTTTTTGCAGCCTCGTGTTGGGGCAGGCTGCATTTGTCTCGCCATCCCTAACTAGTCGACAAGTTCAGGCGAATACTTTCCTCTCTCGGCGCTGGTTGCCGAAAGCAGGATTGAGATGTAATTTTAAGAGCTCTTTGCTTTGCTTTGCTGGACTATCAATTGTTGTTTTTGACGAGTCGATATGAGCAGTCTCCCCACAGCTCTCCGCCGAGGCGGGCGAGGAGTGGTATGTCGGCTCTGCGTGTTACTAGATAACTACTCCGTACGTGAATACGACACATGCCCGAAAAACGCTAAAAGAAGACCAAATTTAGGGATGGGTAAGTAAGATAGAAACAAGAAAATTAGAAGTAAAAATGAAAAGGAATACAAAAAATCTCAAGAACCAACCGCATCACCCTATCGAATAGTACTCTGTACAGAGTAAATAACTGGCACAACACCGTGACCATGACCATGCCATGACCATGACCTCGATTTACACACCACCATTTCCATCATCATGCCACCCATGACATTGATCCATTAGCCATCCGTCCCTCTTGTCTGTTCTACCCACTTGATCCACCGTCAAAAGTTTGAATTGGCGATTGTCCACGTCCTTGCACGCCCCCAAGACGCCCCCTCCAAGCCTCCTTCCTCTGTTGCTCCTGCCTCGTCCGCCCCGTCCGCCCCGTCTGCCACTAACCCACTAGCTCCTTGGCCTAACCAACCCTTGTCCCCTAGTCCTGGTCCGCCCTGCTTCCACTGTAACCGTTAGTTACGCCGCACGCGTTGTCGCTCGACCCTCGCCCGTTTCTTTTTGGCTTACCTTACGGATACTTTACTTGGTAGACCCAAATAATCCTGGTCTTCCTCGCCCGTCGCAATCCCCATTCCCATTGTCCTCCACGAACCTCGCCAAATCTTATTTACACCCTGCCGCGTCCGTCATCCAGCATACGCTCGCTCTCTGCTTCCTTTCTTCTTCCTATTCATGATTTACTGACCGCATTGCTCGCCAAACTCGTCATACACGCTCCTTCTTCCAACTGCGACCTCTTCATTCCTCATCCTCCACATTCTCCACCAAGATCCCCATCGAGCTTCGACAGCTTCGACAGCTTCGACAGCCTCAACAGCTTCCCGCCACCTTCTTTGACCACTAATACCATTCCTTCGCATTACCTCTTGCTCTCATACTCGCCTCCTTCTTTCTTTCAATTGATGGACGATCCTGGTTCACTGATCAATTCTCCGCCCCTACTCCAAACTGCCACCCAGCCAGTCTGCATTGCTTTTGCCGTCATTACCTCGCCCCTCGCCTATGTTTGAGTCACTGTCTTGGAAACCTGACCCATCACCTGCACTGCCCTGAGACCTGGCGTTTTCTTACCTGCCCTGCCCTGCCATGGGCGCAACGGTCAATAACCGAATCTCGCTCAGCATTCATCGTCGCCAGTCTCGCAACTTGACACCAACAATCAACTTACACTCTAAACATCAAATTTCGCATATACGCAACAATCTCAGTTATGCCTCCCGACGAGGCTGCCGCCGGTACCGAAAGTCGTGGGCCTTCGAATTATCTCTCCCTGAGATCTCGTCGCTCCAATCGCTACCTGGCCGATGCTCATAAGCAGTCGGCCCAGCAAGACGAACCTTCGCTGCCACAGCACCACTTCCCACCCCAACAGCTATTGCACCTGCCGCTGCAAACTCTCGCTCCTAAATCTTCCAAGCGAAGTCTTCGACATATTTTTAGCCGCTCCAAACTCACCAAGGACAAGGTTGACTTGCCTGCCACGGCTCCCCCAGTACCCCAGTCTGATTCTCCCCCAACACAATCCGCAACTACAGACAAGCACAGCGCCAACGTTTACATTCCTCTTCCCTCTGAACCTCGAGAGAGCCTGTCCGCTTCTGCCAAGAGGGCCTCGTCCGTGCCGAGAGCTCGATCTCTTCGCCGCCAAAGCCACGCCGCTCTCCCCCCTGCATTGCCTAGCCGCAAGGCTTCCTTCCAGGACAATGGATCCCACGAGTCCCTTGCTGCCTGGGAAATGCCACCTCTTTTCAAGGCATTTCCCCAAACCATTCGCCAGGCTACCTTACCTGCCGTAACAATGTCGACAGAAATGGTTCTGCGTTTACACGAAAAGAATATTACTGCCGCCATCGCAGCTGAGCAGCTTACTATGGAAGAACGCAACTCGAAAGAAATGGCCAAGAAGAAGCACGGCAAGAACCCGTCTTTGTCTAACTTACAGTGGACTACGAAAATCTACCTCTTGACTACTTCAGGACATTTGCTGCAATACTCCGGCGCAGGAAACTATGATCGCCTGCCAGAGAAGGTTCTCAAGCTGAGTCATACCTCTGCTGCCTTTGTTACAGATTCTATTCCCGGAAAGCACTGGGTCCTTCAAGCCTCATCCAACACGGATCAAGACGCTAGCACCCCGACCACTGAATCAAAGTCAATCCTCTCCAAGCTTTCAATTCTTGGAGGAGAAAAGCGCGAAACTGCAAACATCTTGATGGTATTCGAGAACCCGAGTGATTTGGATAGCTGGATGTTTACTCTCCGTGGTGAAATTGAAAAGCTTGGTGGTAAGCGCAAGTTGTCGGAAACTGGTGTGCCTGAACGTCCTGTAGCACCAAGACAGACAACCAGAACCATGGTCGTGCGAGACTCGATGCGCTTTTCTAGAAGCCCCAGCCGTCCGAACACTGACGGTGACGACGACTTGACACTTAGGTTGAGCGATTTGCAGCATAGCAGAGACCATAGTTTGGACGAAATCTCCACAACCAATAGCGTCGTATCACAGGATGGCAGGCAACTCGATAGCTTGCGAGATAGCAACGGAAATCGTCTTTCCTTTGCTTCTGCCGATAGGAGAACTGCCGTCACGTCGGCTGCCTCTTCTCCAGAACGCTCTCCCGTTACTGAGGTCTTTCCCCGTGACTCGAGCGAAACTTGTGATTCCCACGAGTACACTTTCCGCTCAAAGAAGGCAGACCCCAGGCCACGGCCCAACGCTTCTGTCATTGCCAGTCGTCGCTCCATCATTCATAATGCTGGTCTGTTCATTGAAGCTAAATCCGACAGTCGCAAATCCCAGTTCGAGGAAGACTACCTCGCGCCCAAGCGCAGCGAAGCGCCCGAGCTTTGGACGGGCTCCATTCCCCCCAACTTTAGCCTACCGCAGTCATCGACCCGACGATATTCTCACATGCGCCTCAACTCCTCCAACTCACAGTCGCCCCCTTCCCCAAACACCGCCACCTTTGCATCGCGCCTGATGCGTTCGAAACCGCCCCCCGTACTGCGATCGTCGCGGCCCCTGTCCATGGTTGCTGACCACCACTCCCCAAGAACTGAGCTGCCTGCCAGGCCACCCACTGCCGACGGCGCCAGCCATCAGCGATTGTCTCCCGTCAAGGAGCAGGTCAGAGAGCAGCGCCATCGCTACTCGCGGCGACACAGCCCGCGTAGCTCGGCGGATGGCAAATCTGACATTGGCTCTTCTCGCTCTAGCTTGTCTAGCAGCGATCGTATCACGTCTCCCACAGCCAACTATCGAATCAGTCCACGACGAAGTCGACCTCCAGTTGCGGGGATGCGCAGAAATAGCCGAGATTATGATATGCGCGCCATGCGCACCTTCAATCATCTCTCCTCTATGCCTCACGAACGGGTCAATGCGCCAATTTTCGCGTGGACAAGAGACTCAACACGCCGCCAATCTACTGCAGATTCTTTTCCTTCTGTTACGGCTGCACCACAGATTGAAACGGTGAGACGAGCGAGCACCAACACAGGTTACACGTCGCCTGGGCACCGCCGCCATTCGTCGGATGAAAAGCGACTAGCCTCAATGTTGCCGCCTATGCCGCCGCCTCCTTCGGGTCCGCTGCCCGCGCTGCCAAAACCCGCGCCTGCCTCCCAGGCGGACAAGGACCGTACTCTACTCAACCGCCGGAGCATGCCACAGATGATGCCTCCTCCAGTTCCGCCGCCGCTGCGAGAGCTGCCTCCTCTACCCCCAATTGCATCCTTGCGGGTGTAATGTGACACTACCACAACTACTAGACTTTGGCCGCCACCAGACTCGAACACGACATTCAAACACTGGTTGTTTTATTACCATTTCATTATTATACTACAAAAATCTCAGTGTTGTATGCTGGTGCCGGCACTAGCATTAGAGACGAGCTATGCGACCAACTTGGCCGTTTCTTAATGCGCCCACGATCGTTAATGAACACAAAAGCCTTTTCCTTATTGTGCCTAGCCTGGATGGCAGGAACCACATTCGTTTTCTCATTACCATTTTATGACGCTCTATACCGATGCACAATTGGATAGTAGAATGACCTGTATGAAAGATTTGTACCATTTTCTTTTTATTTTTTTACTTCTGGATGTGGATGGTTCTTTTTCTTTTTGGGGAAATGTCGAGGTTGATGTTGAATGAGAGCAAGTGGAAGACGGATGACAGTGGACGATTAGTCGAATATGAATACAATTTTTGGAAATGTGCAATCTTAGTACAACGACGAGCGATCTTGATTGTGATGTAGATGTACTTGAACATGGGAGAGTGGTGACGGGGTCTACAAAGATCCATGCACACCCTTTCTTTCTTTCTTCCTCAACAACCGCCGACTAATGACACAAGTTTTTTGTTTACACGAGAGCGTTCAAGTGTGTCTCACCTCAATGAATTGTCACAAGATCTTTCCGATATGGCGGGGGGGGGGGAAGGGACTTGCTTGTTGTTTGGAGGCCGTCCATGTGGGGGAAGCAAGGGAACAAGATATCTACGCGATGCGACCCTCGTGCAAGGGAGACGAACAGGTGGCGATTGACTCAGTTTGGATAGATGGACACCATGGATTTTGCTTGAGAACCAGGGTTGTACACTTGGTTCGCCGACCACTCAGAACAAGGGGAAAAAAAAAAAAAACTCGCAATGTTTCTTGCCTAATTTTTCAAAAGAGAATCTGGATTCGAAACGCTAATATGTTGCCTCTCTGTGATTATTTGCAATGGACATGGAAAAAAAAAAACAAATCATCAAAATACACAAAACCATGCCGCTTCAAACTTTCTATTCATGTTTCTCATGGTCGTTTGCAGTCAGGTCGTCCCCGCCGATCCTTTTCCTCCTTCAAGTTCCCGCCCCCGCCTCAAAACTTGTCCTGGTTCGCATTCTGCATCAGCATACCCGAGTCGGGCTTGTACTTTTTCGACAGCAAATTCACATTATACTCGACATCCAGCACGGCGTCGCCACGCTCCGCGCCGCCCCCCGGCAGCACTGGCTCAAAGTGCAGCAGCAGATCCTCCTTGACCGCGCAGGCCGTGTCCGTCTCCAGGTACGGGTCATCTTCGGGGTACAGCTGCGCCGTCACGCCGATATACTCGTCGTGCGTGACCATGATGTGAATGTGCGCGGGCCGATACGGGTGACGGCCCATGATGCTGAGCAGCTCCGCCGAGGGTCCCGACGTGTCAATGGCGTACTCTGTCGGCTTGAGGCAGTAGAACCAAAAGGCGCCGTGCTCGTTGGTGCGAAACTTGCCGCGGAGGTTGTGGCGGGACTGGTTCTCTGGGTCGTGGGCGTCGTACTTGCCGTTGGTGCTGGCCTGCCACATGTCAAAGACGGCGTTGGGGATGCCGCGGCCAGTCTCGACGTCGCGGACGACGCCGTGAAAGTAGGTGAGCTGACCGTCAGAGGGCATGTCCTGGACGACGCTGGCGCCGAGCGCGCGAAAGGGCGTTTCGGGAGACCAAAAGGGGCCGAGGATGGAGGATGAGGTGGGCACTTTGCCGTCGGCGGCCTCGACCTTGTGGTTGATTTCGTCGACGAGGCTGTGGCGGTGATGTGTTAGTAGAAGGTAGGGTAAGGGGGGAGGGTGGAGAGGGGAGGAGCAGAAGGGGAAAATGGGGCGAGAGGAAGGGGTTGAGAAAGACTCACGATTCGATGCCGAGAATGTCGCACACACGCCACGTCTCGTTGCGGTTCTTCTGGTAGGCCTGGCCCAGCGAGTTGATGTAGTTGACGCCAAGAATCCACTCATCCTGCTTGAGCTCAACCTCGCGACAAAAGTCGTGCATGTGGCGGATGAGCGACGTCAGAATCTCGCGGTGTCGCGGCTTGGTGTCGGGACTCATGAGCTCAATGACGTGCTGGGTAAAATTGGGATCAAATTTGGATTTGGTCTCTTCATGATTGTGGACGCCGTTGTTGCCGTTGGCGGGTGCAGAATGATTGGCATCGGTGCCGTTGGCGGGTGTAGCATGATTGCCATTGGTGCCATTGGTGCCATTGGTGCCATTGGTGGTGGCGGCGTTGGTAGTCATGGTGGCAATGTGCGTGAGTATATTGTAGAAGCAACTAATTAATACAAAGGTGAAAGAGGGGACAAGGACAAGAAAAAAGTAAACAAGGAACCAGTTTTGGGTTATCTGTATGGTCATGGGAGAGGAAAAGAAAAAATAAAGAGCGTAGAAGAGGTGATGGATCAGTGGGCGCGCTGGGGTCATGTTAAGTAGGAAATAGGAAGTCTGGAAAAGCAACATTGCCGGTAACAAAAGCCGGGATCGAAGCCGGGGAAAGTGGGGGGTTGAGGGCCGGTGGATACCGGCCAGCGGAAGCGGCACTTTTGCGCGGGCATGTTACAAAGCAGCCTGAGGGGGATGGCCGGATAATGTCATGGCAATCGTAATCTTGTCCCCCGCGGTTCGACTCGCGGTATTTGTATTTTCCAATGCGCGAACACCGATTAGCAAACGTTTGTTGGCGTTCCGCTTCCGACAAAGAATGCCGCAACTTTTGTGTCTTGACAATGGCCTGATGACGAGTCTGGCGAGTCAAGCAGTAGTTTGTCAAGGGCCCGCGTTTGCAACGATGATCATGTTTTGTTTCAGCTTGTGCTTTCGAGGACAGTTGCTTTCCTTGCGTTTCTCAATTCCGCGTCGGAGATCTAAGACTTGGACGCTGGCCCACGTTGCTTGCAGAGTTGGCCGCTGCCCCCCTCAAAAGAGTTTCTTGTCGACGGCGGTGCTGCGGAAATGGAGCTGAGCGCGTCAGGTAGGCTTCAACTAATATACTGCAAATTAAAGTCACATATGAGTATTGCTCAGTTGAGGTGCAAACTACTGATATTCATTCCTCTCACGAAACGGGGAAACAGTCGGCGGCGAAGGCTTGTGGGGCGCATGATTGCCCTCTTTGATCACCGTCTACTGCCTATGCACAGCTGAGCAGAGGCTGTGAGGGATTACTATAATGTAGTTATTGTATCACGTCATATCTCTCGACCCTTGAGACGCCAGCAAGAGGCAACGACGCGCTGGCACCATCTTGGTGTTGCGTGATCTTTCAGATGCGGGCTGTCGCTGCAATAGGTCGCTCTGCTGGGGGGGGGGGGGGGCTTGATGTCGTTCGGAGCGCATACGTGGGCAGCAGGTCAGACAATACAACTCGACAAGGCGACAAGGCGGCACATAAGGTTTTTTGACCACCTTGAAAGCCTTGGTGCAGTGCCGCTCAGAGACAAAGACGAAACGCCGCCTCGGGGAATGCGAGCGCCGCTGACCCAAGGTTTGTACTCGGGCATGTATGTCTCTGACCTGGCGGCGACGAGTCGGGGCCAGATTCCCGCCCTCCGGATAACGGGCGGCTAGAGCGGCAGGGAGGGTGAAGCTTCGGGTCCAAAGATAGGCGCGGCGGCGGGAGATGGGGCGGCTCTCGACGGGCTTTCTGCCTAGGCAGCTTGTCAAGCTACATCTCGTAGAAGCGGCTGTGTGAGGAAGATGTGCTCCTTGACGCAGACGGGCAAGTTTGGCTATGGGAAGTCTGACGCTGGATCCGAGGGGAAAAGGTGTTGACTTGATGGCTGCCATTTGTTTTAGACGTATGACATGTCCCCCGTGTCACTCCGAGGACCAGATGAAAGACAGCAAAGCAAAGAGAAGGGGGGGGAGGGGTTTACCAGGTTTTTCCCCTTTTTGACTAGCTGGAGGCTTTCGTCTTCTCGGGGAAGACAGAAATGGACATCTCTTTTTCTGGCTCATAGTTTTCGTCTGCACATTTGCGCCTTTCGACTTCATCAATGTTACACAAAAGACGGCTTCAAAGCCATCATTGTGCTAGCCGCCGCTCTCGTCGCCTGCCAACATTGGCGCATGATACAGTAGACAGGTGGTGGCTTGAATGACTTCTCGCAGTCCGTCTTTACGCCAGGTAAAATAGTGACGAGTGAAATAGTGACGAGTAGATATGGCGAAAGCAAAGAAAATTCGCCCATGCTGGCTGGTGGCTGGGGGGTTTTGATTGTTGGAAGCTCTGCGGAAGTAGCGGAAGAATGGACTGAAAAGCTGGTGGCTGGGCGACTATCGACTCGTACCTGCCTTAGCAGGCTAACTTGTAGTGGGTGTAACTACCTACCTATGCCCTGTTGCCGAGGGAGGGAACACAGACGCCGTGCATTGTCTGTGACTCTGTGACACCAACACTACCATATTTTTTTTAATTTTATTTCCTCGCCGTCCTTTTACATGTAATTGAACAAGATTGAAAATAATCTACCTTGTTACTTTTCTCTCATTTCCTTTCTTCAGGATCTTTGACGACTCTGTTTCGAGCGAATCGCTGGTAGTCGCCTACTGTTTCAGCTCTACAAACCCCACCACCTGCACTGCACCTCTTCTTGTTGTTTATTATTCGCGACATTGCGACACGACGACGACATTGCGCTTTGCGCCCGCGCCACGAATGATCTCGTCTCCGATCGCATCGAATCGAATACGTTGAAAATCGCCTGATTGAATTGTTCATATTTTCCTCCGCGCGATACTTGGAAACAGACGCGCAGAGGACCGTGCAACGCAAACGGGAGCTCTGCGGGCATTTTTGTCCCTCTCTGTCCCCATTACATCATTACTCGGGTCCCATCCGAGCGCAAACGCCGCGACAAGAGAAATTCAGGCGTGAAAAATAACGAGGGAAAGAGGAAGCAAAGAGACAACATCGGGGTCCGTTGCAACAAGTCTTGGCGCAACTTCGCAACCGGGAGGATCCAGAGCAGGAAATCCCGTTTTGCGCTGCGTTGAGCGCGCTACTTGTTTTCGCCCACGATGCCCGTACTACCACGACCTCGAGAAGCGACATTTCAAGCTTCATCACCACCACCCGCCGTTGTTCTTTCCGCCGCCGTCGCTCCTCGCGTGCCGCAAGACGCGCCCGGTTTCCAGGCCATCCCCACCACCTACCACACCTCCGACTCTGCCCCCGCGCCCGGCGCCATCGCCGGCATCGTACTCGGCTCCGTCGGCGCCTTTCTCCTGCTCATCGCCCTGCTCTTTTCCTGCACCGGCTGGACCCCCGTCTTCTTGCCCTGGCAGCGCCAGCGCGCCGTCGTCGTCGAGGAGGAGCACCACCACCATCACCACCGTCGGTCGCACAAGCCCTCGCATCGCCGGCGGCGCGAGCACCGTCGCCACCGTGGTGCCGTAGACGCGACGGAAATGTACCAGGTTCGCGCGGCAGCAGCACCACCACCACCGCAACGGGTCCCTAGCAGCAGACGCAGCAGTAGGCCGGCGCAGATGCCCATGGCGCAGCCCCTGCCGCTCATGACGCCAGCTGTGCGCGTCTCGCAGACGCACACGCGGAGAAGCGGAGGAGGAGGACATGCGCCGCCGCCGGCCGTGGTCCGCGATGACACGACCGAGACGGATCTGACAGAGGACGAGGTGGTGGTGATTGAGGAGCACTCGCCGCCCCGGCACAAGTCACGCAGAAGCTCGGGACGCAAAAGCCACGATTCGCGGCGCGACAGCAGACGCTAGTTACGACCGTGGCTAGCATTTTCACATGCTACAGACGACTGTTTCTTTTCTTTTTTTCGGAAGCAGGATTGTTAATCTTTGTTATTTTTTTTTTTTTTGAATAATAAAGATTACTGTGTCGAGCCCTTTTCAGGTTGCTGCTTTTGCTGCAACATGCTGGTACAGGTTTCATGGTTGGCAGGGTGCGAGCCATGGGCAGACAACCGGCTCTGTCTATGCTGTATATAATTCCCCTTGTTTTTTTTTTTTGGTTCAACCCTGTTTATTTAGGGTCTATATAACATGTAAATGCAGATACAATCATGTAGCCATGTAGAGAATAATATCATTTTATTTTTATATCTTGTTTGCGAAGTATTACTTCTTTTGCTGTGCCCTGTGATGACCTAGTGAGCAAAAGAAGCTTCTGCCTTCTATCAAGAAATCACCGCCATCTTCCATCATCATCGTCTCCTGCAAATGCGTCGATTTTTTTTTTTTGTTCTCTTGCCACCCATTCTTGCAGGACGATAATCAGAGCCAAGGTTTTCCTGGTGTTGACAGCAACCAAGGATGCTTGACGAACACCAAAGTCGGCAAACTAAGACTCGTATGGCGCAGAGCAAACGTCTCTTGATGAAGCAAGATATGGAACTGGCATGCCGATTCTACATTTCCCTTGTTACTGTCTAGCTGACACATTTTTGCTACGGAACAAGAGAGATGAAAACGGCATACGGCCCTGGTATCACAACAAAATCCTACTTTTAAATGCGCGCTATCTACATCGACATGCCTCCTCCAGACCCATTACCGTTGTTGCTATTATTATTGTTCCCGGAATTCGGCTGTCCGCCAAAAAAGAACGTGTCAAAGGGATTAATGTGCCCGCCTTCGCTAAAGTCATTATGCATACCCTCCCAGTTGATCCCGAATCCGAGGTCTAGCTGGGCCTGGTCCACCGTCGAAAAGTCACCATTCGGCGTCGCTCCAAGTGTTTGCAGAAACTCCATGGTCTGGCTGTCTGGATAGTCCATGGACCCCTGCATCCCAAACTGCTGGCCCATAAATGCGTTGGTGCCTCCATGTGTCGTCATGCGGCGAGGCAATGGAGGCGAGTGAACAAGCGGGTCAATAGAGCTGCCATCCTGGCTGATGGAGCCGTCTGCAGGGCTTGGCCCGCTGTGTCTCCGTGGCTCTGACATGACGGCATCACTGTCAAGAGTCTTTGATGTGCCCAATGGCGGTGTATTTTGCGCCGATGTATCACCGCCCGCCGATAGCCCTGGTGAGGATAGGTTCTCTCCCATTGCCAGGTCAAACTGGTATCCCTGACCATCCGACGCCTGACCTAGGTGCCGCGAATTTGACTTCATTGCTGAAACATCAGGCACAGGAGCTGTGACCCAAGTCGTTGTCTCTCTGCGCTGCCGGCGTGGTCGAGGGTTCGCGGTGCCAAAACCGCCATTCGAGCTAGCCATTTTGATCGTTGCCTTGGCTGTCCGATCAAATGCGTCTCGGCATGTCTCTGCCGGTGGGCATTTGTCAATCATGTCGGTGAAGACAGACTTGGCGGCCAGAACGGTGAAATCAACTTCGTCCATGGACAGACGACTCCGTACCAACGGTGAATGCCAAATAGCGTACAGGTACGAGATACCAGCCATGAACAGATGATGAGTCGACAAATATGTGTAACTGACAAGACCGCTGAGATGGAGCTGTCTATATATGCGCAGAATCTTTTGTCCTGCTTCCGCCACCTTGAGGTAGATACGGTCCTCGTCTTCCCGAAGCTCTGCGGTAAAGGCTGTAGGGCTGTTGACTTCATGCGACGTGTTATATTCGCCCTCAAACATGGCTGGAACGCTTAAGCTTTGTCTGTACAGCATAATAATTGCTTGCCAGTAATTGAGCTCGAGGAATTCCGTTGAGAAAGCAACACCAGTCTCTTGTCTCGTTGGCGCCGACGACTTCCAGTGGAATAGGCGTTCGTCAATATTGCTTCTCCATGACCGAAATGAATCGAATTTGACGAGAAAGGGCGAGGGAACGTGATTGCGCATTTCAGGATAGCAGGGTACCTGATTTCCTTGGCGTGCAATCTGGGCCTGGTTATATTGAAGAACCTGTAGTATTTCCGACTGTAACATTCGTAGCCGAAAATAGTGATGCGCAACATGTTTGTAGCTCGGTCGTTCGTCATCTACTAGAGGGTCGACAAAGCCCGTGGGAGTGATGTAGTCGTCGTCCAGTACGGATGGAAGCTCGGTGGTAATGACCTGGTCGCTAACACCAAATGGTCGCCCGACACACGTGCTTACCAGTCGATCGAACGAATAGGTGCACCACCATAAACGTCGTCTCATGTCTCGCACATATTGTCGCCGCCCTCGGTCCCTGGCGCTTGAATCCTGTTTGTCACCTGTGTCATCCGGTCCTGAGTTTTCCGCTTCGCCACCCTCTTCGTAATGTAAGCCTAGATCAACAGCAAGGCGAACAGCCACACCGGTGATGTACCTGCCTTTCATTAGCGGGAGTGCAAATTCCAGAATGCAAGAGACTTACCAGAGGCCAGGAGGGACTGGGCGAAGAAGCGCAAAATTCGCTAGCAAGAGCACCGCTTGTAAAACTTCCAGACCGCCTCCACTAAAACTTAGACAAGATTCTAGATGAACAATAGCGCTTGCATGATATTCTTCAGGCTCGCACTGTCCCTTTCCTTGTTGGGTGCCGATTCTGACTGTGCCGGATGCCTCTGTCTTGACAGGTTCTCCAACAATAACACCGCAGCCGATTGCGAATACCATATTTAGCATGTAAAGCTCTTTGGAGGCGAGGGATTCAGGAGAGTTGGCATAGGCTTGCTCAAACATGTGCATGAATTCGCCACGATGAAGGATTGGGATCTGTGGGTTGGCATGCTCAAAATATAGGGTCACGAGTCTCATTCCAACTTCGCGATTTGGAAATGGGGCTGGCTGGATGGTTGGCCTCGTGTGAAGGCCAAAGAATGAGTCGCGCATTGAGGTAGCAGGGCCTCCCGCTGGTCGCTCTGTAGGTCCATGTTGGTCAGACACAGAATATTGGACAGCGGCGAAAACAACTCTGGCGAATGAAACGCCGGATGCCGAAGCCAGGGATTTCGGTTTCGAAGTGCCGACCAAATTCATCATAGCCGGGCTCTGTCCTTCCTTTTTCGCCGTCAACGACTGGTTTCGCGCGTTATTTAAAGCCTGCTCCGAAGCGGCGCCATTGGCGGAGCCCGAATCTCGCGGAGCAGTGTCGGCGCTCGGACGGGAACAGAGTTCCAGATTCTCTGCGGGCGGATATGGAATACCGTTTGAAGAAAGTAGTTTTTCGAGCTGCTCGACCCGAGTTTCGAGATAGAATACATAACTAAAAAAAGTTAATGGGAGAAATACAAAAACAAAGAAGCGCAAAATGTACCTGCGCGGGATCTCTTTTTTCGTAATTGGATCATAACCAACGCATGCAACGCTAGCTTTGGCGCAGCTTGCGCAACTGGGAAGTTTCTGGTCGCAGCGATTTTTGCGCAGGCGGCATCTGTTGCAGGCGCTCACATTGCGAAAGTTGCTGCTTTGCGAGGGCTTGCCGCCCGAGAGCGGACCATTCATGACGACATCAGGAATAGTCTCGGGACTGATTCGATTCATTGGGGAGCCACCATCCGAGGGTACCTTTCGTTGACGTTTGCTGTTAGGTTGGGCGCTTGGCGAGGGCGCCATATGCGCGGGCATATTGGCGGCGCGACAGATATTTATCGCAAGGTGCTGGTGGGCAGCAAGTCGGCGGAGGGATGATTCGGAGACTTAAAATGTCAGATTACCGATTTTCGTAGGCAATTTGTCGGTACGAGCTGAAAAAAAGTGCGCCGCGCTGTCGGTGTATTGCATACCGGTTGGTAAAACGGCGTTATCTGGCAGAAAGAGCCGCAACCCATCCTCCAATAGCCAAAGACTGGCCGTCGTAGGTTATAGTTGGTACACCAGTAGAATTCAGATCAGACAGTGAAAACCATGCGACCAACAAGGGTCTTGAGCGAAATGCGAAGAGTGAGGGCGCCCCGGCCGGGGATCGCAGAGACACCTCGGCGCGATGGCGTTGAATAGCGCAGACGGCTAGTCTGAGCGGCAGAAAAGAGCGAAGGCTGAGCTGTCTTGACTCTGTACCAGAACTAGGTCAGGTACGGGCTCTATATCAGAGCCTGACAATGCCAAGTTGTGAGGCGGGGGGCTATTGTAGGAGCAGCTGGCGAGCGAAGAGATACGGAGGAAAACAAGCAACTTTGCGACGGATGAAAAGTGTGGGAAAGAACGAGCTCACGAGCGGTATTGGGAGAAACTCGGTTGCCGTGTGGTGCTCGTCCTGGGTCTGACAGACAAGGACAGTGGAGATGCTTTAGTAGGCATGGATCGGGGCACAATGCATGCTGATAGAAGAAGCGGAGCCGGACGGGCGCCGTCTAGGTCCCCGCATCAAGACGAAGCAGAGACTGGCCAGCCTTGGTGCGCGAGATCGAGTCTTTGCAGCGCCGTTTCGTTGCTGATCGTGACTTGTCGGAGGCGAGCTGGCCCGTAAGGTAGGTTCGTTGCGACGCGCTCTCTCAAACACTGCAAACTGGCAAAAGAAAAGTCTAGAAGTCTGTAAGAACCCACTGAAGCTGAGGCCATGATTGCCCCGAATTTGCGCCCCCCGAGCAGACCCCCAGAATGCCTGCCCCCCGGCCTGCTGCAAGCCACGCAGCAGGCTAGCGCTTTCAATGCCTGCAACCCAATTGAGTTGCGACTGGCCCAATGATCATTGTCCAGCAAGTTTCGTCGTCTTGTTAGTGCGGTCATGTCCCTGTCATTGAGAAGCAAAGTGACAGGGTCAGCGGCACCCGGCAACAGCTGCTTGTAGGTGGTTTTATGTTGTTGGTGATGATAATACTGGTGGACTATTGTGACAGCAAACGGAGTAAACGGCGCGCTCCCCTATTACCTGATGACAAGAAAGCTCGCCAATTGCGTAGCTGTTTGTCGCCAGCTGGCAGTTGCCAACAAGCGTGTCAGTCGGGCTCCATCCAGCCCTCGCTGCTCTCTGTATCAACAACCAAAACACAACATGACCTAGAGCAGTCAATTCACCAAGTGGCTTCCCTCTTCCATCTCGGCAAAACCAATCATCTTTTCTGTGCCGTCATAGATTGCCCACCACTCTCGCTATTATTCCGACACCGCCCGTCATGATAGCTCGTCGCCTTGTGAGTCGTCGAGCGCAGACATGTTGACTCGATTGGAATACGTAACCCATGTGTCGGCCGCGACTAGCTGACTGTTTTGTCGCCGTACCAAATCGACAATCTCCAGTAGGCTACTGCAAAGCTTGACACCGGGCCGGGTTGCAGAAGTAGCTTCCTCAAATTTCCGAACGGTTACACGCTAAGCCAAGGGTCCTACTCCTCACCAATCCCCTGAGAACGGCCCAGCAATTTGCGTTTCGCTTTACCAATCGTTTTTCGCTTGCTCTCGTTCGCTGTCGATGTCTGCAAAGTTCCTCGTGGCGTTCCCCCCCGCACTTCCAGGCAACCCCCGCAACTCGCTGCAGCCACATTTCTAGCTCCTCTGGCGACAGGTGTGGATGAACGTGGTGTGCGTGGTAAGGACTAACAGGCCCTACATGCTGGAGTCTCGGCGAAGTCGTGCATATTTGAGGCTGGCACGCGATGGAAAGAAACTAGCCGCTTTTCCACCAATCAACCACTAAAAAGCGGCGAACACTTGTTGCAACAGGGCTGCCAAGGACAGACCTGTAGGCAGGGCAAAGCCAGGTGTGCTTCCGGCCAGCCGGCCAGCCCCACGACAATACGACAATGGAATAAGTGCCGCTGGATGCGGGGTCTTTAGGAATGAGCTAAGTTGCATTGCATTGCTTTGGTCAATGGAGCTAACTCGAGTCGATTGGGAAAGGCCTTCCCCGCAATCGATCTGATTTAGCAGCCGAGCTGACAGTATGTCTACCTAGGTAGGGTGTTCCTGAGCTACAGTGTATCAGACTTGAAATTAGACTTTCATTTAAACCTGGCTTAGTAGTTGCGCTCGCACAACGTCACCACTATGCCTTGTTTTCCCTGAACGTGTTCTCTTCTTGGAAAGCCCCCAACAGCGCCGTTACTTTAAACGCCAATGGGCGCCATTGTAACCCGCGCCGGTTTATTCCAGCGTTCTCGAAGCAGGGCTAGGGACCACACGGGATAGATGGCAGTATCTGGTCTCGTGTTTGAAACATTTTAGCTTATCTCTTAAGGTTATATACTTTTCAGTATTATATTTACTAGCTTCTTTCAGGAACCTTGTAGATGTTTATGTCTTGTAATCTATCTTCTACCTACATACAATCCTCCCACACATCGTAAATTTAGGAAGCACATGGTCGATTTAATGCACTCGCGGGTCCATGTTGGGACTCTGTAACTGATGCTCGTGCCATCAATTATTTCATTTGTATTTGGCGAGATTGTAGTCATCTATACGAGCCTGGAGAACGTGTGCTCAACGCTCGTCCCGTCACGGAGTTTCCAGTCCACTCCTCCAGTACGCCGTAGATGTCAAAGCTACTGGAGTCAAACATTGCGCAACCAACACAAACGGTTCTATCTATACACGAAAGTTTGCAATCTCTAGGTGCAAGGATACACACAAGGCACAGCTTGCACGTGTGCTGGAATGCGAAATTAAACAAAACGCACACAAAATCACTTTGATGTACGTCCTTTCGGGTGCCAAGGAAACAACAAGACGCACACACTACAAATACAGAAAACAAGTTGGAAAAAAGAAAAAAAAAAACAGAGAGAATTATGCACCTCGCTGTGTGCAAGGATATGACAGGAAGCACACAGAAACTCACACAGAGTTTGCATATTGCTGGCTACTAAAACACAAACACTAGAAACATGAAAAAAAGGAAAATAAGAATTTTCAACAGAAAATCTGCAAAGCTTGCAAAAAGTCTACAACTCATAGAAGAGGGTAGTCTGAAGAGCCTTTTGTTTTTATCCCTTGGGGCATGAAAGGTATGCTGACTCAATGGGAAATGGTGTTGTTGACTAATTAGCAACTCGATACAGTAGTTGTGGACAGCTGTACACTTTTGACAATCTTGGTCCTGGTTGGTGTTTTCTCACTGATGTTTCTAGTAATATTTGTTTCAAAAGAAAATCGAGTTTCTTTCTCTTCTGGGGAAAAATGGTTTCTGAGCACTTGGGGCATATTTAGTGGTTTGATTGGGTCATTCACCAACATCAGGGTGCTTTTTTCTCTTCTTTCCCCCCCCTTTTACTCATACATGATTACTCATAACCACCGATCTTCTTTCCAGCGTAAATCCTGCCACATATCACGTTTCAAAAAAGTTGGGAGCGAGCTCGTAAAAGTGACACCTTTCACCTCGTCAAGTGACACCACATTCCCAAACTGTAGATGCCGGTCACTGTCCACGTTTGATATCATGCAATCGTCTCTTCTGCGACCGTCCTTTCGTCGTTCAATAGGGAACCAGAACCACAGCAAAGGAGGGGAAAAAAAAGGCAGACAGTTCCGAGCCGACATCGGGTGTTCCCCTCTCCCCCTGGCCTTCGGCGTAGTTGAAAGTGGGCCGTGAAGCTCGGAGTTCGCGTACAAGGGCACACACGATCAGGCTTCGACAACGGTTGAAAGGGCTTACCTTATGACTCATAATAGGAGAAAACAGCAATACTCTCGCGGTAGACTTACTATCAACCTGCGACTTGTAATGCTTTTCGTAACAGGGTCTGCGCGAGGGGCCTCTCAGGGCGCGTTCCGCGGCAAGCGTTTAACAAGCGGTCGAGCGAGTATTTACTACACCGATCCGAAGGACTTACTCAACAGACTGATATTACAACCCGATATGAACACTTTGCAGAACACTTTGTAGAGAAATATAATAAATTCAGAATATTACGAAATCAAAACTCTAGGCGTGGGCCCGTGATTGTATCCTTTTCATGCTATATATCCTGTATCGTGCTCCTAAAAAAACCAAACAAAGAATGTTTTGCCCTATAGAGTACCAAAAAGTGGCCGCAGCCACAAAAGTCTATCGAAAATGTGCATCAAAACCCCCCCTTTTCCCTCTTAATGCTGAAGCGAAAGCTCCGTAATCAAGGGGTAGAATAATATATATATATGTGTGTGTGTGTATGCAACGCCGTTTCCATCTCAACGGTGGGTATTGTGAGTCCAAAAAGTGCAGCGGTCATTCCCAGATGAAGTAAAATGCATGGGTAACTATTTGAAAAAAAAAAAAAAGTCGTAAGAAGAAGTTTTGTTGTTGGTCTGTCGAAGAACCAGAGAAGTAAAGTGGTGAAATGCGTCGGATTGTGCGTCAAACGCGTCGTTCATTGTCGTACTCTTCGGCCATGGAATCGAGGAGTGGCTCGTCTACTTCCTCGGAGTTGGCAGACTTGTAGCCACCCTCGGTGATCTGAGAGCTGAGGTAAGCACCGACAAGGGTGGTTGCGCCGCTGAACCACCAAGCGAGACCGGAGTAGCCAGTCTGGAGGCCGAGAGCGTAGAGGAAGCCAGAGACCGTGGGGCCCAGAGCGCGGCAAAGACTGGCGGTCGAGGCTGCGATGCCGTTGATGGTGCCCAAAACCTCCTTGGAGGGCGCCGAGTTGGCAAGGAGGATTGCATTGCTGGGGTAGGCCATTGTCGCAAAGGTGCACTTCCAAATAACGAGCAAGTAAATGGCCGGCATTCGCATGCGTTCGGGCAGCAGTACAAGGTAGGGAGTGACGAGGTACAGCGAAAAGTAGGAGAATGCAATCAGTCGAAAGAGGCGGAGAGATCCCAGACGGCGGGTCACGGGTGCGACAACGAGATAATTGGAGAATAGCGAGTAGAGACCCTGGACCGACATGATGACACCAATGGTTTTCGTGTCGAGGCCAAATCCGTCAACAAATTTAAAAGGTAGCTGTTGGACAGCATGGTCAGGCGGTGAAGTGCTGAGGAATACCGGGAAAAGCTGGTCAAATGTCATGGTATGGCTGCCACGGTCAGTCGGCGGTCAAGCCCAAGTCGCACGAGTACTTACAATGCAAGAATGCCGTATGACATGATGTTCATGATGACAGGTCGAGTAAAGATCTTCGTCTGTCGCTGCGGCGCAGTTTCAATTCTAGTAATAACGGGCGCCGCAAGTGCCTTGCTCGGGCCCAGCTTTGGCGAGCTCTCCTGGCTCTTGTAGCTTGGGAGCGGCTCGTCATCTTCGTGGAGTACACAAGGCGCACGGCACGATATAGCGCTGTATCCAGACGGTGCAGAATCGCGAAGCAGGCTCTGCTTCTCTAGGGCGCGGCCTTTGCATGTTCCGGCACGGCTGAAAAAGGCGGCAATCTTGTCTCCTACTTCACGAAAGCGGTCACGCTGCAGCTTCTGCTTGGCGTGCGTCTCGTCGAGGAAGAGGAGCCCGATAATAACACCGAAGAGGACAGTCAAGGCGCTGAAGAGGTTGGGCAGCAAGTAGGGATACCGATCCCAGATTGTGCCCCTTGCGAAGAGCTGGGGATAGCTGATGCATGGACGTGCCAGAGCACCCCCAATCATGGGGCCAACGATTGATCTGCGGCAGTTAGATTTCCCTCCTTGTCCGATGCCAAGGTCAAAGTAACGTACCCAATGCACCAGACCATGGGCATGATCGTGTACGCCCGAGCTGGGATAGCTGTCAGTATACTGCATGTCTTGATGCGTGTCGGATATGGACTCACGCTGTTGTTCCTTGACCGTCACGAGCTCAGCGACGGTGGTCTGAAGTACACCAATGTTGCTACACCACGAGTCAGTGGCTGACATGGAGAGGCATTTACCATTTTCACATACCCATTGAGAAGACCGCCCAAGGCTCGAGCAAGGAGGGCAACTGGTAGATTGGGAGCAAAGCCGAAAACGAGAACGCTGACGGCTGTACCGGCAAGACCACTGAGTAGAACGGGCTTGCGACCGATTCTGTCACTTAGACGTCCCCAGAATACACCAGTCGCGAATTCCGCCAGGGTAAAGGCAGAGGTGACCATGCCAGCGTAGACTGCAATTTTGCTAGGGTCATCGGTAATGTGAAAGTCCTGAATCATGTAATAGATGTAGGGGAAAATGGACATGAATGCGATTGGCTCGCATATTCTGCAGCAAGCTGCGCGGAAGGATAGCGAGTCAGCACTGAAGAGTTCTGGACCGACAGGGGGGGGAAGGGCATGAATTCGAAACAGTGTGTGAACACTGACGAAGCTTAAACATACCTAAAACAAACATCTGCTGGCTTGGAAAAGGCAGAGGGTCTCTTCGCTTCGCATCCGCGCGAAGGTCACGGTCAGAATCAACCTCGGGAGAGGAAGAGCGCATCGTGGCGGTTTGAGAGGGCGGTCAGGCGCCGTTGGTTTTGGGTGTAAGCTGGTTGTGACGGATGAGAGTGCTTGGCGGCTTGCGGAGGGAGGCGCGCAATGTCGGTGACGAAATCAGGGAAGCCGAGAAAATCGAGGATAGAGAAAAGAAGAGTCTTGGGTTTCGTCGGGCATGAAAATGAGTTGTTTTTTTCTTCTTCTTTTATGTGGTATAGTATGGCCACGGCAAAGAGCAGCAAGCGGTACGACCTTGGGGTTTGGAGGGGTGTAAGACGCGGTGGTGCAGTTGTTGCGGCGAGAGTGAGGCGGAGAGGTCGGACAAGAAAGATGGGATGGCTGTAAGAGGAATCAAAATCGAGTGGCGAAGAGCAAGTCTAATAAGTATTTTCTTTTCCTGCTTTTGAAAAAAAGAATAATCGATGCTAGAAATAGACAAGCAAGTAAAGGCAAGTGGCAAGTTGAAGACGAAGCAAGAAGGACTCAGAGGGGAGTGGACGCGGCAAGATATAAGAATGAACAGGGCTAGCCCAGCTCCTCCGGTTTCAAAAGAAGAAACAAGCAACAGGCTCCCAAGCCAAAAAGGCAAATGAGAGGAACAAGAGAAGGAAAAAAAAAAAAAAAGAAAGAAGGCCCAAGGGCCCAAGCAGCGCGGGACTAGAATGGGGGATCCGTCCAGCGACCAGGGGCTTGACTGGCACCACCACTTGCAAGCAGTTTAGCCTCTGTACCAGCAACGTTAGGCCAAGGCTGGGAGAGAAGCTAATACTAGGAGAGAGATGCGTGGTGGGAGCGGGGAGGGGGGAATTAACCAACTAGATTGGGACGGGCGGTGGCATGAACTCCGTAGTTGGGTACGACAAAGAAAAGCGACGTCTATTACGTAGTAGAAGGAATGTAAAATTGTCATTTAAAAAATCTCGTGGTTTTTACAAGTGTACCTGGGAAGCAACACAGCGGCCAAGTTGCAAAAGGACAGACGAAGGAAGAAAGAAAAAAAAAAAAAAGGCGCCCCCGGGGGCCAAGGGGGGGAGGGGGGCCGCGAGCCGCGAATTGGATGTGCAACAGGGGGGAGGGTGCAGCAAAGGAGTACAAATTGTAGAGGTGTGTAGGTTGCCGTTATTATTTTGATTATTGCTAATATTACTTACTCTCAAGGCTGTACATTGATAATGGTCCGGTGTGGTGGTGATGTTGATAATGATAATGATAATGATGTATGATAATGGTGAGAAAGCTGCGATGATATGAAAGTTATTGGGCGCTGGCTTATAGGGGGCGGGCTGCTGTAAGATGATTCACCGACAAGTATGTGAACTGCTTTTTTTTTTTTTTCAAAAAAAAAAAAGAGAAAAAAAAAGAAATGAAGAAAAAAGAGGTAAAAAGAAATAAAAACTTTAACGTAATAACAAGTTTTATAAGAATATCTTGTCATGTCTTTAAAATTATTAAAAGCTTTCAAAAAGAATCTACAGCGTCACCTTTGTTTGCTGCCAAGCCAACTTGGGGAGGGGTGAAGTTGATGGCTAATTTTCCGGTAGGCTTTTCTACCTACCTAGGGGGGCAGACACACCCCCCCTTTACCTACCTAGGTACCTAGGAGGTGCCTATATTTCCGCCGTAGCGGTGCCGCGATGGCGCGGGATTCAAGATGCACGTAGATTTGGAAAGAGTTGCGCCAGGAGCCCCGAGAAAAGCGTGCCAAGTAATGAACGAGTCGGATATCACTCAAAATTAGTTTTCCCAATAACTACCTATTTTACCAATACGGATAACAGAGACCCAGCAACTTTCTCTCTCTCCCCCGCTCATGATAATACCGGCAAGAGGGGCGCTTCATTCCGGGTGTTGAACGGGGTATCCGGACCAGCGACGGCCGGGTCAGACAACCCGCTAAGAAAAATAATAATAATAAAAAAAAGTCCCCAAGCAAATCGGACAAGGTCCCTGGACTGTGACTGGACCGCTCACAGGAGACTGACTTGCTCGCAAAGATCCTAGTTATTAGTGGGCAGCCAAAGTGGATGGTGGGCGCAAGGGGCCCGAGATCGAATGCGAGCCTCTGGCAGCAAGCACTCTTGGCTGGACGGGGCGGTGACTTGACTTGACGAGAGGCGTGGCCCACAGTGGGTTGGTGTTGGTTTATTTTTATTTAATCCTTAAATTTATTTAATTTATTTTGAGTCGTCTTTTAAGGAACCAGTATTCAATTCGAGTAAATCCTTGCCCTTTGTTCCCCATGTGCTGCGGCCGAGTCGGCTGTCGTCTTTCCAACGTTTCATTACGTGGGGATCCATCTCCAGCGCATCTTCAGCACGCCACAGGCGCTGAAAATGCACTACAAAGACTCCACCTGCAACAAAGGTCCCCCTCTCTCAGCAACCAACCCAACCATGCGTGTGGCCATCGTCGTGTTGAAGAAAAAAAAAAAAAAAAAGTCTGAGACGCAGCTTTTTTCCCGCAAAAAGGAAAAAAATTTCTGTAGTCGTACAAAGAATTCCAAGATTTCGGAATTCTTCACACATGTCGTCGCATCTCACCCGCAGGCCGTTGTGAGCACGCGCCGGCACGGCCCATACACAGAGACGCCGTAACTTAAGGTACCTATCTACCGGTACTGATGACTATTACCTCTGTTCCCGACCTCGCCTGAATATTTACCAACTTACTCCGTAGGTAGGTAGGTACACTTTCACCTCTTCTTCCTCCTTATTTTCCATTATTCGTGTAACCCCAAAATTTCAATATCAATTTTTCCGCTCTCTTACACACCGGGGACCAAGGTGAAACCTTGTGCCCACAGTCATATGCGGTCGTGAGTCGCAATCTGCAGCAAAAAAAAAGATGATGCAGCAACAAAGATGATAGCAAACCACAAACGTTCATCTGTTTTAGCCTTCCTCGCATGTACCCGCCTGTTGCAACAATAGTTTTTTTTTGTTGCCCAACACCGCCGGAGAGATTCTCCAAAAAAACGAAATAGACGGTCAGAAACAAATGTTACCACTGCCCACTTATCGCCAGATCACCGGGCCTGCCCTTGGCACCCTCTTCTCTCATGGCGGCTTCTCACAGGGCGGGAGAAGGGAAACAGAGCCATGGGATTCATGCCATTTCTTCTCTCTTTTACCACAGTAACATGCCCTTCCTGTGTGCAAAAATCCCATTATCCCATTTTCCCATTATCCAAATCACCCAGTGGCACAGCACCCTCAAGGAGAAAGCCCGTTCCGTCCCTCCCGTCTACTTGCATGCACCATGACATAAAACGGGCCGGAACCAATTCCCCCTCTTCCCCCTCCCCCCCCCCCCCCCCCCGTTCCTTCCATTCGGCTTCTGTTTAGGCCGTCAGCCTTGTGACGTAGCTTCCATGCATTTGTGGAAAAACTGGGCAAGTACCTTATTAGCCCGGCAAGGCCCATGCCATGATGCGCCATGTAAAATGCATGGGGCTGGGCAGAACAAGGTGGCCCCCCGTGGCGTTTTGCGCCCGATCATGCGACAAATGGCTAACTACTACCTACGCCCAGCCAGTTTACGGCTTACTGGACTTGGGCGCACAATCGACTATGCCCAGTTGGAAAAGGCAGCTGTAGATTTTTTCTTTATCACTAAAGAAAAAGGCACCTACATACATGTAAAAGAAAAAGAGAAATAAAAAAAATAAAAGAGATTTTTTTAAAAAGAAAAACAAAAAGACATTCTTCAAGGCGGGATAATCATGGCGCCCGTTAGGGTTGGTCCGAACCTGGCGGTGAAGAAGAGCCGCCGCCAGTCAGGCTTGATGGCCATGCATGTGCTGGTTGAACAGCTTACATATCATTACCCGTGGTTGAGTTTCCTATTCTTTTTTTGGTCTTTTTTTTCCCTAGCGCCATGGCCTTGAAGTGTGCCAGCTAGTAAGTTTTTTTGCAACATCAACGGCTCAAACTTCCATGAGTTTATAGACGTGACAGTTTTCTTCACAGCCTCGTCGTCGGAATCTCGGCGCGTTGTTCCCTAGGCCAAGTTGTCATGACACTACTTTCTCATTTTGTGTGTGTGTGTGTGCGCTGTCCATGTCCGCCCACACTTGCAGCAGCGACTTACACGCGTGACTAGCTGTCTTGGCTGACGGCATCTCGCTATGTGGTAATTGGTAAAAAGCCCCCGGTGCTTTGCAGTGACGAGCTGTAAATCAGCATCCCTGTCTGTTCCCTTTTTTTTCGCGTAATGTGCCAGCAGCAAGCAGCAGCAGCAGCCCCTACCCAGCCAGCTTTTGCCAGAGACACGCATGGCCCCTTGGGCATGGGTACCGTACACTTGACCGTGCTGTTATATTAGGCGCAGCCGTCTCTTGTGCAACGCGGGTGATGCGACCCGGAGCTCCCCGGCCACGTATCATGAGTCTCCCTCTCTCTTGCTCGCAACTCTCTGTGCTGTCACTGTCGCTTTTTTTTTTGTTTTTTTTTTTTGCCTTGTCCAGCCTTGCCCGTCAGCGGCGGCCGGGCCAGGGCAGGCCAATCAAAATAACGCCGGGTTCTGGCCATTCCCCTGCATCCGCCGCATGCGCGCAGAAACTACTCACGGCTCCGGATTGAGGACGCGACCCGAGCAAGAAGAAAAAAAATGCCTCGGTGAGCCCGTCTCATTCCATTTACAACGCCGTCCGTTTCCATGGCATCGTTTCGGCCGTAACGTTGTACACGTAGGTATACAGACAGATACACACACACATACACACACACACTTACTCTCTCTCTCTCTCTCTCTCTCTCTCTCTCTCTCTCTTC